CCGCAGCGGTCTAAACTTTGCGGATGTTTTAAAAAAAAAAGTCCTTTACAAAAATTTTTGAAACTTTGTGGTCGTTGCCCGAATCTGCAGACCCCGCTGCTGCTGCCCCCCCCCCCCCCCCCGGACTGCAAAGAGTCCTCTGACACCCTAAGCTTTGATGCAGAGCCATGTCACTTGCAAGTGGAAGACTGGGCTGGCTGGCTGGCAGAGCTGCTACTGTGGGCATCGTAGGAATCCGGGGGGGCTTTACTGTGCACCTCCACAAGATCCTGCTTCGCGCCCGCAACTTGTGTCTACCAGGGGCTCGGAAAATGCGGTTGCACTCACACGCCCGCAGCCAGATGTCGAAGAGCGCCGACTGTACACGTCGACCTGTTGCCAGAAGCCGCTCTTTCACCTCGGAGATTCCTGTACCAACCGGACTTTCCCGACTTGTGGGCGTGGGCAGATTCGTGGTCATCGCCAGTCGACCGTAGTCACTACCAATGCAAGAACTGCAGCTACCCGTTGGACATGCTTGTTCCTGAGCACCGAAAGACAAAATCTTCGACTGCTCTCACAGTGACAGCGTGTTGTGTACCCTCAATTAGTCCAACGATTGAAACCTTCCCCTATGATTTGAGATGTCAACTGCATCTGGGAGACTTGCATGCCGAGGTTTAAAAATAAGTACAACTGCCACAGGTGTCTGTCTATCCCTCCTGGTATTCATCCCAGTGCCGTCAAATGGCCAGACAGATCTCCTCTGCTGGGTTTTGCACGGCTTGTTCGTCAGAGTGTGACATGTGTATCTTCGTCGGACCAAATGCAGGTGTTCTCAATTCTACGTACTGGACGCGCAGGTCATTATTCTGCATGCCACACACAGCGGAAGCTCTGCATCTTCCTCCGTTTGCATACTTCTATCCCGATGCATGATCCTGCCTGCTACAGCACATGATCATGATCGTGTCCGCGACTGAAGCGTCTCGGCGAATCACACAGGAGCTCTTTGCCGGTAAGGCAGTCATCCCTCCTGCCATGTGCGGATATCTCAGCCTCAAGAGCGGTCCCCATCGAGCAGGGCCACTTGAGCTCATAAGCCGCCTGGTATGAGCCAGGGAGAAGGATACATGTGTGGATCGTACCTTGGGGCATGCCACCAACCAGGCTAGCATGGTCTCGCTGAGCAATATCGGGAACAGGCTAGGACTAGACACGAGATGAGGGACACTTGAGCCATGTACCCACGCCCTGGGCACATTACGATTTCGAGGGGGAGCACAACGCAAGGGCAGGTACCCCTGGGCTTGGGACTTCTCAATGCACTGCGGTGGGGCCAAGTCCCGACCCACCTGGCCACCGTTGGAGCTCTCTTGACTGCCCATACTGTGGTAGCTGCAGAAGTGCGTCAAGTCCCGCCGCGCCCGGGTGATCGCACCTCTCCCCCACGACCGTAATCTTAAACCATGATCTGGCGCTGCCACGACCTGCAACCACACTTTTCCACAGCCTCCTGCAACCTGTATTTTCCGAGGCCCCCAACTGCGTTCCGCACCGCACAGGCAGGATCTCCCTCGAATCCTTCGACGCCCATAGGCACCAGCTTTGCTTGCCAGTCTTGGTCGTCGGCGGTCCACTAGCCTCCCACCTCAGTCAGATGCCATGCAGTTTCGAAGGTGCCGGAGCTAAGTGGCCAACCGACGTGATGACAGGTGACATAAACTTGAACAAGCGTGTCGCGCGACAGACATGGAGTAGACCCAAGGCACACTGTCACCGGCAGGCAATTCGGATCTAAGCAGCTCCAATTCCATGCGTCTGCAGCAACCAAATGATACTCATCGCTGAAACTACTGATAGAAACCTGAACGTCGTGCCATAGAGGAGGCGATTGGCCTGGGAGGAGGCGTGGATGGGCCTCGGCCTTGACACCTAACTTGTTCCCGAACTACAAACTCGAGTTCCACAAGGCTGGCGTACGAGGCAGGTATGCACGGGCGATCTGGAAATTGATTTGGAGGTGTAATGGACGGGCGTGATACTGTCATAGCTTCACGGAGCAGCCGTGGATTGTCGCAGACCAGACCATCTGGAGAGATCAAGCAGGGTGTGGGGAGTGATGTACCTCACATAAGACATGTGGTGGTGGGGTTCGGACCAGGGGCCCTCTGTATTGCTGCTCGCGCGTCCCACCCGTCACGCATATGCCCCGCTCTGGGGGGTTGTGTTGGAAACGGCGGGAGCTCCCTGCACACAGCTCAACCAATCAAAGCTGTAAACAAGCAGACTTCCGTCCCAAAAAGGAAACCTCTGTGAGTGATGAGTTCCTGGCGTCCGTCGCTGCACACAGGCCAGACAGGCTGAGGGATTAGAAGGAATCTCAGTGTAACCGGGGCGGCCATCTGATGAGTGATGGGCGTAATGAGATTTTTGTAAACTCAGCAAAGAGCAGTGCCATGCCTCTATCTTTGCTTAGAATTTTGCAATATTTCCAGCAAATCCTAGCCGTTGTTGAGACAAGGACACACATGAATGAAAAAGACAGAAACCAACCCGCAATGCCCTTGTGACTTCTTCATCAGCCAGCAGGTCAGCCTGCCATTCGATTCTGCTTTCCTTCCAACATGCAATTCTATTTTTCTTACATCATGGACCTTGTTGGACCTAATCAGAGAACACTTAATTCTCGCAGCCTTGTTCCAAGTATCTTGCGCTCCGATTGTGATTATACTGGGAGGGGTGCCTTCCACGATCAGACAAGCTCGGTCCGCCTCCCCATTGGCCACTACTGGAGAACTGCGAAGGGTTTCTCCTGCGGAAAGTGCCTGCCGGAGGCGACCATCCATATCCGTCAGGGGTTCTGTCCTGTCGGGCAGGTCTGATGTGAAATGCCTCGATTGGGGACGACCGTTGTGGCGGGCGCATGCTACGCGCAGACCCCCTGTGGATAGGTAACTGGCGCGCTGGCACACGCTGTGGCATAGGGACGTCGGGGATTTCGAACGCTGCACCATGTACCACGTCGTCCTGCTGTGTGGGAAGTCTTGATCTGGACTCCATCTGTCAACCACATCCTCGAATGCTCCGGCAGGAGGCTTGGGGGAGCAGGTAGCTACAAGATCGTGCAGCGTCAGGTAACTTCTACTCACATCTGCCTTCGTCCATAGCAAAACTGCCCTGCTTGGAGTATCAGACTGAGGATACCAAAGACGATGGTGACTGTGGTGTTGAGGTCCATTGCCCAGGGGCTGTTTGGGTCCTGCATGACAAGGACGGTGTCGTTGTAGGCCGCCGCTGGGTCGCTGGTCAATGGAGCCATGGATGCTGTATTCGTCAATTTTCGACGGCGGTCTGTTTTGGTGTAACGAGCCGTCATTCAAGTCCAAGGTTATACGTGGACAGGATGTAGTGAAGTGCAGGGCAGATGATTGCTTTGGCGGACCCGGATCGTAATTGAGCTTGAATGCGCATGTCACACCGCAGAATAGAATGAAGAGGATGTGTCCAGGGTTCGACTGTGTCTCTGCCACTGAATATGTACTCTCTTCAAACGAGGCCTTTCCGCAGCTTAAGAAATAGAAAATGGGAAAGAGAAAAGAAGCGCTCTGTTGTTTTATAGGACAAGAGAGACGATTAACAACTTGGGTCGGGGGGAAGTTAAGAAGGGGGGGCGTTTCGAGTGTGAGAGTGGGCAACGCTTGAGAGGACAATCATTGCACTTTTAGACTTTTTGGGGGAGCACAGGTTCCCCTAAGCTTTGGACTTTCAATGTACTCGCGGATGTGGGCTCCTAGGGGTGTGTGAATGAGAGCGAGTCTTAGGGGGGTGCAAGCAAGCCCTGTGCGAAGGTGAGAGTGACTGATACTCAGGCGGGGCATGCCACGTAGTAGACACGGACCACCCTCATTCATTGCCCATTTCCTCTATACATGTTCAACTACCCTTTACCACGAACCACATACCCTCACCCCTTCCGTCATTCGAGCCCAGCTTCAGTGCCAGCGTTCCCATCTTGGAACGCATACCATTTGCCTGCCTACCCACCTGTCTGTCTGTCTGTCCGCAGGGGAAACAAGAAGTCGGGTCGGGTCTAACATGAATTGGGAGTAGACGAAACTTTAATTTGCCCAGGGCCCGGAGACTGCCAAGCTGATCCTCTTACCCATTGGCTCTACACTGGGTCTCCCTAACCCTCATGGGCCCACCTTCGTCACCGTGCTGGCGATTTGTGACTGAATTCTCGAGACGCTTGCGCAGATGCCCAAGAGAAATACGACGGGGCGTGGGGAATGCCAAAAGTCTTAGCGTGCCAGAGGCTTAGAGCCGCAGAGAGCTCCTGCTGCTCCTTCGGACTTTTGCCCCTCCTAGCCTCTGCCCACCTCCTCCAGCGGTCACGACTCAGGACCACGTCTTCGCATACACCCCTCCCCCGCCATCCCTCTCCAATCCATTTGACTGGCCCTGGCTCTCGCTGGCTCATCTCAAAGATATTCACTTCTCGAATTCGAACTTAGCCAACTCGGATGGCCGGATCCAGGCTCGGTATTGTTGGCTTTTGCTTATCGAAACTCAGCTGAGTGGTTGAAACGGTCCCTGCATCGTCACGGCAAAAATATTCGGATTTGGCTGTAGAAATATGTTGGCCTCATCGGGGTCCCCGTCTGAAAACAAAGGTATAGGCAACATAGCTATGCATAGGCGCTCGAAGCTATTTACAAGGCAGTAGCCTGACAATATGAGCTACCTAGGCATCGACAGGGGCCCTGGCCACTGGGCCATGCTAACGTTTAGCCCCGCAACCATCACAATGGTCCTGTCTGGTCATGGACTCCTGAATATTTTGAAGATACAGATGTACTCATGGTAGTAATAGAACGAGACCAAGTTGGGAGTTAAAATGTTTCTGTCAACGATTCAAAAAATTCAGGGAATTCCACAGAGGGGAAAAAAGCCTGGGCAGCCTGCAGCGAAAGGATGACTCTCGGATACTGTGTGATCGCACATACTTGCCGGTAACAGCTTAGTCAAGGTCGGATCCACAATATCAATAAACAAACTAAGCGATGATTCTTCAGGATGCTGCCAGATTCCCATGTATTCAATGTGCACTAACTCAGAGGGCGCATGCACGTTGCACAACAGACGGCCTGGTGACCAGTTAGGTCCTCATGTGTATTGGATTGACTCTGATCAAACAACCTGCAATTGATTGGTGCTCTGCCCTGTTCTGCCCGTCAAACCATATCGATCACCAGTAATGCTCAAAATTAGTTGGGTCTGGATGTGGCTATGTCATGCAGTAGAGGGGAAGATACTTGTAGCTGTACGGAGAACGCTTGCTTCGATCCTCGCGTAGCTGCAGGTATTCATACAGGCCAAAAGATGACGTCGCTGGGCAATTCCATGTCCGATGGACCAAGTGTGGCAATTCCAAGCTATGCAATCGTTATAATGCTTTGCTTCGGACCGGTTCCAACCTCATTTTGAATTTTACATTTTCCTCGTCAGTATTTCACCAGACCGTTGGCTGAGGTCGCTCAAAACTCACATCAGATTCGCCCATATTGTTGGTGCATAAACAATGTTGCTCGAATGGCTGTCGGTCCCCTACATTCAAGTGTGAGCCATCAAATCTTCGCGAGGCGCAACAGTGCCTTGATCTTGGGAACACCATCCAGCAAAGCCTACACAGTTTGGAGAGCTGCTCTCCGAGCTCTTTTGACGATTTCAAATAGGCCCTGCTCACAATTGGGTACTGCTGCTTTGCGACTGGGACTATCCTGAAATTACCATCCGAATTTTTCTCAAGGATCCTTACTAAGTCATTTTAATCTGAAGACGTTAAACTTTATTCTTTCGAAAGCTGCCCAAACCCATATATAAGGCTGCTTTCTCGGAAGCCGCAGAGCTCCGGGCAAGCACCCTTCTTCAACGGAGACAGGCTGCGGGAAATGTGGGGCTATTGATCCGGGGTTGGCTTGGCAGGCCGGTGCACCCAACTCATTCTATCGTCCGTGAAGACCGGAAACTCGGCGTCGAGAATGCTCACACATCACGAGTTCAAGGGATCCGCTCGCTGAACCGTATACAAATGTCAAATATTGTCTCATGGCCATCATAAAATCCATTGCCTATATTTGGAAACTCAAAAAGAAGTCAACAACAGGTCTGTCTTTACTTAGGTATCTTTAACATGTATGGCCGCGACTATCTCCAAGCGCCATATCACCCATAACTAAGGCCAACGCCCTTTTTGAGGTAGAAGAAGGCCCCAGAATTCTCTTTTCTAGTTTCGAAATACATGAGGAAGCTGCAACAGAGGCTGGAACCCAACCAGCCCTCTCGCCCGTGGTTCTTGTATATCTCCCCTTCGTCGGCGAATCCTATACACTGTCAGTATCGTGCTGGAAGAAGAGAACCTTTCTCGCACTTACACTCGAACATGGTTCAGCTGTTCCCAAGCAATATATAAGTTCAAGATTGATACCCCAATGCCAAAGACCCCAAACAATATTGCAACAGTCGTGCTAAGGTCCAAAGACCACGGATCCTCGTTGCCTTGAGTCATTGAAATGCTGTAGTCTTTCTTTACCACCAGATATTTCCGAGGTTTTACCAAGCGGTACTTGACGAATATTGTGGGTTCAAAGGGGTATAGAATCAAAGTAGCAGATGGGGCGAAGCAAAGACACAGTCCCCAGATTCACTGCGAGAAATCTTGGTCATACGAGTGGTGGGTACTGGTATTTATGTTGGGCACCTACCTACCTGCAAGGCCGTCATCATTGTAGCCGCATCGAGTATCTTACGGTCATTGATAACCTGCTTGGCTACTCTCGCCCCCATGGAGGGCTGGCAGAACATTTGTGACCAGATGCTCGGCACAATACCGAAATCTTCGATGCTCAAGAGGAGGCTGGAAATGTTGACGAATGGGAAAGTGGACTATTTTCGGTCTCTACGGACATGTCCTATGCTTGATGCAGGCGTCACAATCAGTAGGCACTAAAATCTGATGCGCAAGTGCGTTAGATTGTTTTGCTGGTCCACCTCACTGGCTGCTGTGGCCGGACTGACGACTTCCTTGCTAGCGCAGCATTGTCATCTCGCTGTTGATATCCTTCCCGGTTAACCCTTCTTTTTGGGAGAGTCTCAGATGCAGGGCGTTTTAACAAGCGTTTGTTTCGTGGCCCAAGTTTGTTGGTAGCACTGGGTCAGATTGGTTACCGGTAGTGTGGCTTGCTCGGGTGTACTTACCAGCTCCCAATTCACGAGCGCAGTGTCGTGGAACCCTCGGCTAAAAGAGCAGAAACAACACTGTCAAGTCACCAACGCGGGGCGTATAGCTTATAGCGAGGCCGACTGCATTCTTTTAACTATATGATCTGCTTATATCCTTGCCGTGGTACTTTTGCAGGCAAGCAATACTCGTCCCTTCCGCCGCAGTGATGTGGCCAAGAGGCTCACAGAGCACTAGATTTTGTTCTTGTCTCGACCTTTCGCTCGTTCACTTGGGTCGGATTCAACGAAGCGGGCAGCATTTCCGCATGATGGCATCCATTGTTGTCCCTCGAATATCGCGAAAGGGGGGCCGGTGATTTGACGCAGGTCTCCCAATTAGGCTGTGGCTGTGTGTAGCCTCAAACTCGTCAGCACTCCCGTGCTGAGGCTGCTTAAATGTCGTTGATGTCATTTGGCATTGATTGGAACCGCACTGCAAGGCGTCTTGGAGTAAATATCAAAACAATGAGCACACGAGTGAGGCAGGAAACTCGATCCGCGTGGTTGCATTTCTACGAAATACTTAGATACCTTGCGCCATGTATTGCTTTGTGATCCAGCCTGGAAGCAGATTGCGCGGCGCCAGCTCCAAGTCTCAAGACGAGAAAACAAGACTGTATAGCATGAATATTCTCTTTATTTCCGCTCCAGAGTATAGCCTACGCTGGTGCCAAAGGAGCGCAGATATTTCAAGGATTTGTAACTTACCCGAGGTCGCTTTTATTGGGATAGAACAACTAAAGAGAAGAGGCTGCTCGCGGCGTAATAAGACGGTACGGCAAGCCGCACTGCGTCAATATGTTAATAGAGTTGACCTCAGAGACATTTGATTTCAAAGGTTTGCCACTCCCTATATCCAGGCTCAACGCTCACAGAACACCATCTGGTTTTGAGCTATTTTCTATTGCGGGAAATACCATAATTCGCCAACAGCACACAGCACGTTGAGAAACTGGATAAATCCAAACAACTGGAGTCATTATGTGCACTACCATTCTGATCGCTGCAATCGCTGCAATCGTGCCTGTCCGCTATGTCCTCATTTTCAGTCAGAGCTCAAAATAGGCGCATAGAATTCTTTCATAGCTTCCGTCACGTGGATTACCCGGGTTTCATCGCCTTCGCTTTTCTGGGTGGCGCCCTTAGCTTTCGGAAGACCGTCAAGCAAACCCTGAATTCTTCCGAAAAGCTGCTTTGCGAGCTTTCGGATTTACAACGGCATTCATGAGTGAAAACCTCAGTGATTCTGTGGAAAAGACATTCTGAATTTCAAATAGTAACATGTTGCTGCCGTACTTGATATACAAGAACCGAGAATGACCTTTGAGATTTCTCGCCAACGTATCGCCGCAGATGTTCCAAAGAACCTCGTCTCCAACAAACAAAGGCCAAGAATGCACTGTTCAGATCTGAGAACCTTGAAACCGCAGTACATAGTTTACAATGTACGTGCATAAGGTAAGGCAGGCTGGAAACCAAGCAGACCTTCCCCCCATACTGCATGCCGTCTCCTCCGCTGTCGAATCCTATACATCTTTAATAGTGCGCGAGAAGCGGATACGCATCTTTCCAGGCTCTACTTACACGCGAACATGGTCAAGTTGCTCCCAAGTCAAATACAAATTGAGAAGCCCCATTCCAAACCCGAAGATGCCGAACAATATTGCAACAGAAGTGCTGAGATCCAACTCCCACGGGTCACCTGTGCCTGGTGCCATTTGGCGCGTTGAAGTCATGCGTAGTAAAGAGAGTAACAAGCGTAGTTCAAACGGCCACTTGATGAGTATCGTGTAAAGTACGAGTAATGTAGAATAAAACAAACAAATTGAGTGAAGTAACGATATATTTTCTGGACCCACTGCAAGGGATTCTCTCCATACTATATGTTGGTGTCAGTATTCGACGACGGCTTGGCAGATCAACATTAACTTGATCCAATGCCCCCAATTGAAGCCTGAGCCATTATTAAGGCCGGGGACGAGGACGTTATGTACGTACCAAGGACAACAAGTACGTACCGATGCCATTTTGAGCTACATGCAGCCATGTCCCCGGCATGATTGGCCAGCTCACGCTCCTAGATGTTCCTGGTAGTGTGTATATGCTGCCAGAGAGGGCAACATAAGCCTATTCGTGTCCTTGCCTCACGACCCCAGATGACCGAAAGTATCAGCGTGTCCCTGATGCCTGCTTGCAGATCTGAACGAACTCGTGCGTGTAGACAATGTTCGGCACGAGTTCGCGCGTTTCGATAGAATCAAACGCCGAGAAGATCGCACAGTCTGTCGTGTTGCTTATTGATCACTGTGCCACTGAGAACGGCGATGCCTGCTCCCGGCCCAGGTCGATCGACGCTGAACTCCCCTGGCCCCCACGAAAGGCGGAAGATCAAACAGGACACCAGGCTGAGAGTGGTTCGGGGATTTGCTTACTCGAGATCAAGCGCGACATGGCCCAGCTCCTCTCGCGGTTAATCGTCCCATGTGAAGGCACCAGGTCTCAGTTCATGAGCATGCCTTTGACGCACCCACAAGCGGCAAGCAACATCCCTTTGACGGGATTACTGCGGCAATGAGGCTCAAAAGAGTACTGTTTGGTAGAATCTGGACGGTCGCTCCCGAGCCGTGACGAGCAATCATTTCGTTACTGCCTTTAGAGGTGACGAGACGACGGCTCTGCAGGGCATAGCACATGGCTTTGCTGGTGTCCCATCTTCGTCGGCCTGTCACTTGAAACCATTGTGAGCACCCACTTTGATCTGTGTATTCCGCGTCCAGTTAAAAGAGAATTATCCTTCGCGTCAACGCCATTGCGGAACAACGTGCATCATGACTGAGCACCAGGAATTCCACGGATAATGTATAACTCCCATTAAGCCCAACGAAGAAGGCAATCTCTTGTACATGTATCATTATTTTTCTGTCTCATGTCATCGTTCATTCCATATGTCATCTATCTCTTTGACATAAGATGGTATCGTGCTTTCATTTTCACTTCGCAGCCTCCCATTCGTTATACTCAACGATGCACTAGTTAATAAACGTTCAACCTCCTCCTGATCTGGTCATCCAAAAACTCAATACCATCATCCCTCCTGCAAGCCCGCCGGAAAGTCTCCCTCATCTTGGGGCTCGCCATCTGGCACACCGTGGTCGCCTCTATGAGCAGCGGCTTCTGATAGAAGTCCCGGGCGACCGACCGGCGCTCCGAGCCCGCGACTGTATGGGCCTTGACGTCTGCTAGCAGCTCTGGGTACACAACGTCCAGGAAGCACTCGTCGCAGACCGTCATCTCCGGGACCGAGGCCATGCTGTACCACCTGGTATTACGGTGTGGCTCGTCGCGGGGGCATTCCTTCACCTCGGCCCAGAAGTTGATGTTGTCGGCAAGGCGCTGGATACTCGGGGCTGACTTGGTGGCTATCGCGTCATCGTGGCACTTTTCGAAGACGTCAAAGTAGGTCAGGAAGCGATTGCGGTTCGGCGTGAAGTGCAGGCTGCACCTGCCGGGTTTGGGCTCTGCCTGCCGGTCCTTAGGGACGAACACGCCGATCAGACTCGGAAACAGCATCTCGACCGCCTTCGCACAGGGGCTGCAAACTCGGAAGTCCTGGATGCAGTGTCTTGTGTCTGGGTCGGTGATGGAGTACCACATCCGCGTGACTTTCGTGTTTCCGTAGCATGGGACCTTCTCCTTCGACAGAACATCCGCAACGCCCCGGATGAGTCGCAGGTCGGTCCGCCGGTATTTGCGTGTCATCAGCCAAGCGATCCGGTACCACGGTGACGTCCCTAGATCGCACGAAACCTCCCTCTCCCTGTAGCGGTACGGTGCCTGCACGAACAAGTCGCGGAATTCAGTGGGATAAAAGACCTGCTCATAGCAGGAGAGGCAGATGGTGAAATTGTCGCATCTTGGCAGCGTGAGCCAGTTTGTATATCCGGCACGCGGTCTTTTCATCGGGCAGTCCGGCAGGCCGGGGTTGGCGCCTGCGTTGACGTCCTCGGAGAAGCGACGGTACGACACAACGGATGGGGTTTGATCTACGTTGCTCGCGCTATGTCGAGGAGTTATGTGGCTTTGATCAGGGACAAATGGCTCCGGCTGCCAGTAATCTTTCGGGTCATGGATTGCGTCCAAGGAGCCCTGACGTGAGTAAGCTGGGGATGGCGGCATTGTTTGTCTTTTCCGGTCATCCATCATCATTGCTACTGGTATGGCGACGGGGACGGACGTCAACGTATTTCCTGACTTGCTGACACTCGCATTGGACCTGACACTTGGAGTCCGGGAGGAGGCTCTGGGCCGATTACCAGAGTTACCGACTGTCAGTCGCGAACGAGTTCGAGGTGAAGAATCTCCCGAGGACATCGGCGAAACGGGCCTCTCAGTTTCATTTCTCGATTTGGTTCTAGTAGTGCTGAACGACGCAGTTGAGGTCCGAGGATTGTCCTGGTAGTCGTAGTCGGGCAGGTATGCTTGAGACGATTTGGGTGATGGCAAAGGCGAAGGAGGTCGCGACTTCGACTTGGAGACTGGACCTGGTCCAGGACTCAGCAAATTCGGACGATCACCCTGGATGACCATTGACTTTCTGCGGTCGTGGTGCGTGCGAGACCTCCTATTATCTCGATCTTCGTCACTTGAAAGCCCATGGCCATCATCCCGAGACATAGACGGGCGGTTGTTGTAACTTGATTTTCGCCGATTCAACTTTGGCTGCTGCTGCGAATGGGACCTCGTCGGAGAAAGCTCTCTGCGGGTCGATCTCGGCGGCAATTGACGCTGGTCCAGCGTTGGGGATGGTGGGCCACTCCTCCTCGTGCGGCCAGACAGCTCGGGTTTGTGAGAGCTGTTCCGCTCTGCGTTCCTCCTTGATTCCCTCGGAACATCCATAGCAGAATGAGTGCGCCTTTGGGCTGCCATGGTAGCCGAGAGAGGCGATTTTGCGTAACCATCGAGCCCCTTCCGATCCGCTGAATTAGGCTTCAGCCCGCTAGCTGAGGCTCGAGGACTCGTGCCTTCAGAACCCGAGTTGAAATTCCAGTACGCCCTATCACGACCCTTGGTGCTGTGCTGGATGACTGGCGATAAAAAGGCATCCACGACAGGCCGTGCCGATTCTGGGTGGGGGCTGAAATAGTCCTGATTTTCTTTGGGCTTCTGATTGACGCAGGTTGCCGACCGGGCTCTCTGCAAGTGCGACGGTGTCTTGGGACGCGGAGGGGGAACGTCTGTCTCTAATCGGGGCAAGTCGACTCTTGATCTGCGCCTCTGAATTTCTGGCTGACCCGCTTCATCTGCCTTTCGGTCGAGTTGAATCTTGGTGTTGGCTGGATACTCCGTCCGCGGGGTCGAGACCGGCCTCTCTTCAGCCGGAGTATCGGAGAGACAACCATCGTCTGTCTCAGACGGTGTGACGAGCACATATCGCCGCTCCGAGTTGAATTCAGGGACGGGAAGGATGATGGGATTTTGTTCGATATCACCCCTGCACTTTGGCTCCTCGTCACTTGCACCGACAACTGGACTGCCCTCTTCCTTGGCGACCGACGCAGCCTCATCTTCAACGCTGGGAGGTGGAGGAAAGGGACCTCGCCGGACCAAGAAGCTGGGAGTTCTGGGCGTCCATGGGCCTTTTTGGTTCAGAGGCTCTAGTTTGGAGGACTGGTTCGCTCGGACCGGGTTAGACCTAAGCAGGAGAAGCCCCAGCTGTTAGTACTCGTAGCAGCCAAGATCCCGGTTGACAGCTCAACGGCGAGATGGATACACTTACAACCTGGGCGTTTTAGCCCTTTGGGTAGTCCAATGCCCTGTAGTCAGCAAGGTTTCGACATCTGTACTTCCGACCATGCTGAACGATCGCGGGAATTGGGTGTTGATGTCGCGAGGATGTCAATTCAGGTGAACATCGTAGGAGAGGAGGGGTAAGCGGCGGCCTGGTGGACACCAAGACGGGGTTGGCCTGGCTTGGCGACTCTGAGGCTGCTCCTACAGGGCTCAAAGGAGGAGGAGGATTTGGGGGACCAGCTCTCGCTCAGAGCAAAGCGGCAGAAGATTGAGTGCAGAATGTTGTTGACCTGTCTTGAAACTATGGGGGTCGGTGTGTCGAGTTGTGTTGTATTGTGTTGTGGGGGGCAGGGACAGAAAGGTCGTCAGAGGATTAAGTTTGATAGGCGCTGACGATCTGTGTCAAGGATGGGACGAGTAGAGAGGCACAACACCGCCAGTTGGAAGTCCGGGGTAAGCGTTGAGGAAAGGCGATCCGACTGGGGCAACCACCAGTGGGGTCCTCTGGGGCTTTTTGAAGCAGATCGAGCGGGCTTGGAAGAGGCACAGGCTGGCTGTGCTGTGCTATGCTAAGCAATGCTATTCAATGCCGAGACGGAGAGAAGAGGAGGAGAAAGAGATAGAGGGCCTGTGTTGTTTTTGGGCAGCAACGTTCGGATGTAAATACCATCGGTATGGTACCACAGAACTGGAAGAGGCACACAGGACGAAGAACAATTATTAAATGGGCTGATGAAACGGAAGGCGGTAGGAACAGCAAAGAGGAGGCAAGAAGAGGAGGTACGTATTTGATCTTCCCTCATGAGGGTACGAGTCCTCCCGTTTTTGGCGCTCCTGCTGCTTCTCACTCCATGTCTCCCTCTGCCCATCTCGTTCTCGTTCTTCCTCTCTTTTGCTCCTCCGCCTCAGTCTGCCCTTGTAGCTCCCCGTTCACTGTATGTGTGACATCAATTTCTCCACTTAAAGCTAGCAGCTTGCATCCCACCACTGCAGGCTCAGCCGATCAGATGTGCGATTCATCGAAACGGGCTCGAGCTCGGCCTCTGCGTTGCCTGCAGAGCAAACTCATCTCTGCTCGTCTAACCCACAATTTGCCCTCCTGTCTGTCTCAATTTTTTTTGTTTAACACACACCAAAGGTATGCCCAGCAATGCCTCCTCCCATCACTGAGTCACCTTGCAGTCAATGTACAATGATGGCATGCAGTACGTGTCTACCTCGTGCGGAAACGGTCACGGCGAGTCAGATGCGACCTTCAACCAGGCGGCCAGTCAGCCTGCGAGATGGCCAGTTGGGCTACAAGACCTGCAGCGCCGCCTCCATCGGTTCCTGATCCGCACGCATTCAGACAGAAATGGAATGACAGTGAGGATCTCGAAGGTGGTGGAGGGGCAGAGGGGTCAGTGAGAGGCAGAGAGGCCGGCACATCATGGTGGGAGGGGCTAGAGACAGGGGCATCTCTCTCCAATGCAACCCTGGCTCGAGCTTGGGAACCTTCGAGAGGGGCATGGCGGGGCCAAATCGACGCCCACCATGCACCATGCAAGCCCAACTTTTCTGGAACCAGAATGCTCATCAGGCCAATCAGTCGCCCCTGCCGCCCTGTCTCACGATGCTGTCCCAAAAGAACGTCGCTGGCTGGGGACTGACTGGCACTGACTGGCTGTCGCTCCCGGATCGAGGGAGCGGATCCGTGCTCGCCACCACATTGGGACGCCAGCAATCTAATCTGGCATTGGCATTGTTGGCAATGTCGACTTGGACGCGACGGTGGCGATAGCCTCAACGCGACAACAGAGCAGAGGACACCGACTTTTTCCATGCAGTGCTATGCAGTGCCATGCAGTGCCATGCAATGGCTGCGTCGATGTAGCCCACCACTCCACCCCTCCATCCCGTCTCCCACCTGGCCCATGGCCCAAGAAGACCCAAGGATCAGCCACGACCAATCTGCTTGCCTGCCTACTGCCTGCTGACCACGCCTCCAAATCCAGCTTGCTCCGCGCCAGGCCTTCTGACGGCTAGGTAACGGGAGCTCCCTGCGTTGGTAAGTGGTCTGAATAAGGAAGTGCGCATCCTCTACAGCCTCTTCAATATAACTCGGGCAACAAGCCAGGCAAAGGCAATTGGCCGGACGTCACACTTGTGCATGGTCCTCACGACATATACTGCTACGAGACACAGCTACTCGCACGCGGGCTTCGTCGTGATGGTGCGCCAGGAGAACGCCTCTGCCATCGGACAATCACGCAAGCAACAATCCCGATGCCAGAGCCTTGCGCAGTAGCTGAACGGTGAGCGGGAGACCCCCATCAACTCCGGATGGGTTGCTTGTTCGGCTGATGTACGGTGATGTCGGGTGAGGACATCAGGACATCGGATCTCGATTGATCCCAACATGACCGATTCTCGAGGACCGCTGCAGTCAATGAGAAGTGAAACGACCGTACAAATCAACCCGCTGTTGCTAGCAGTACGGTTCGCCCGAGCTTCGAGTCACCCATACCCTCCATCATAGGCTCAAGGACAGTCGTAGGTGCAGCTTAGATTGACCTCGGAGCACGCTACTAGGCTTTTCGGTGATGATCTGACGCAATACGGAAGAGGCGGTGGCCGATACATCCCCAGATCAATTCATATCTACATTCTCTTCCCCGTCACAGGTTAACGCGGGCGGCAAATGTTACGATTATACTCCTCAGACATATTGCAAATTCTGCTTCGACGCCACTCTATGTACGAAAGCCTTAGGCATCGAAAAAGACTGTATGCAGACATCGCTAAACCTTCAACGGCCCTGAAGATCGAGCTGCAGCAGCAAGTGCAATCACAGCTATCAGCCCATACATCCCAAAATGCACAAAATGGTAGGACCCCACGAGAGCCACAACCTTAGTGCCGGTCCCCGAGACGGAAACTCTTGGTCGGGACCACATCAGCCTGCAGGTGAGAATTCAGTGACGTGCCCTCTCACTTTCCCAACCCGGCAGGTTAGACGTGCAACACCCCAACGTGTGCCACATCACGAACACATGTGAAAACGCGTTCTTTCGCCTCTCCGGAGAATTATCTGCATGAGATCGTCTGTCGGATCTCGTCGCCTCACAAATATGTTGCCCTGTCAGGCTTGCTCCACATGGTCATGCGTCGTTACCCAAAGTTACACGATGTGGCAGATCCTCCATTTCAGACTTTATGCGATATCGATGTGGCCCAATGCCTTTGGAGTGGGCTTGAAAAGGACGGGACCATCCGAGGGATCTGGCGATAATCGACACTGCATACGGCCCAACGGCAGATGCAACTCTGATGCTGGATGAACTGTCCCCGGCGATCCACATTGCACTCTACCATCCTCGGCAAAAGAATCTCGCGCCTTCGAGGATCCTCTCCTCCGTAAATTGTCAGCTGTTGAAAAATTCAGTTTCGAAATCTCTCCGGGCTCGGAGGGCCTTCCCGTGCAAAAACGCTGCGTGGCCGGCCGCATGTCGTTCTGCTCGTTTGTTCGCTATGCTGCCAGCCAGCGACTCATGATCATATGTACGGATGTAGTCAGTCTCACTTACCTGGGGTTACATAGGGCCTTGATTAGTTCACTGAGGCGCGAAAAAAAGACCGGCGTGCCGTTTCGATAACAACTGCAAAAAGAACGCCGGACGAATGTGCCAGCCACGAAGTACGCGGCCATGAATCAAGAAGTGCAAGTCTGAGAAGGGCTATTATCCCACATTAGTCTGATTCAGGTCAATTTGCATTCTATAGCGTGTTGGTGTGCCTGCCACAATCTGCGTGCGCGTGGCGTGAACCACCCTTCCGGGCAGCCGGGCATACTTGCTTACGCTGACGCCCATGCAGTCACTCCCAAACCTGCATGTAAGCTGCGGCTCAAGCCATGATGAATGATCCAACAACGAAAGGACAGCAAAATGGTGCCCGGCAGACCAGAGGCATCCGACTCAAGCCACAGCACATTTTCAACTTCTAATTAGCCCACGGCCAGCCAAACCTCATGGAAAATGCGCCGACCCCCGAACCAGCCACAAGCAATATGGCCAGGCCTTGGAACGGGTCGGTTACTACGGCCCGCAGGATGAGGAACGCGCTGACCGAGCTGAAGACAACAGGGTTCCCGATCCACGTGCGGTAGCGAGACGGACGGCTTCTCCTGAAACGGTTGGACGAGGCACTGTCGCTGTTGCGGCTGAGGCCGTTGTGGCAGCGGCTCGCCTCGTAGCGCTCGCGTGAGCGCATTAGGAGCAGCCCGAGCACGGCAGCTAGGAAGCATGTGTACTCCGCCAGCCCTGCCCAGTAACAAGACACCAGCTGTCAGTCATGCCATTCCTGCCGTACAGACGAAAATTTCCCCTTGCCAACGTACCTATAAGCACGACTAGGCCGTTGAAGCTGCCTGCCACGATGAAGAAGGCTGCCAGGAGGCCGTTCAGCAGCATTGCGTACCTGTGAATACCATGAGTCAACATCACCTAAGGCTGAGCATCTCAAGCATCTCTCTTTTTTGCTTTCTACACATGCTTCCTCCCAGGCAACGAGTATGAGTCGGGGCAAGACAACGGACGACACTCACACTGGCACACCTTTCCTCCATCGCAACTCCCTTGTTGCTTCGGCAAACCAGATTACACCGGTCGTCAAGAAAGAAAACCCGGGGCGTTTCAGCCGGACCAGAGCCTCCTCTAAGCAGTCGGCCTCGTCCGCCTCAGACCTGCAGTGCAGGTTTGCCAGGACCGCCGGGAAATACCCCCGGTGAGCAGCCGCAACACAGAGCCTGGCCGTAGCAAACGTGTTTGCATTGAGAGCGCCCAGGGCCGACGCGGACACGACAATTGAGAAGACAACCCCGGCCGCCGCAGAGCCTAGCGTGCGTCGTGCAAACTCCTGTGCACGCCACCGCGGTGCCACGTTAGTAGGTGGCCTTCAAATCTTTGTGTGCCCATGAGTAAGAACAGGTCTCCCCCCTCCCAGACCGCGCCGCCGAGAGCCTCGCGCTTGCCAAGCCTTCGCCCGCGGGAAGGGGGGTGAGCCTGCGTCATCCCAAGTAGTCGGGCGAGCGAGCGGCGCCCCCTCCCTTTTTCTCGCTCAGGGTGGGCCGATGCGGATGGAACACGGGTTGGGGCATGATCACTGGCGGGATGGGTGGTGGCAGGGCGGGTTGGGGGGGTGTTGGGGCAGAACAAATGGGGTCCTACGTACCACGGCGACCGTGCTGCTCGTCCGAATGACCTCAAAGGGTAGGCAGATGTATATAGCGGCGTTCATCAGCGCGAAGCCTGCCATGACCGTGATCATGGCGCCGGTGATGACCCGTGGCAGGTCGCGCTCGGGGTGCGCCATGTCGCCCAGCACGAAGCCGACCTGTTGTATGTCACGTTGTCAGAACGGTTCCATCGTCTCGTCTCGTCCACGGATGTTCGATGTGAGCGGCTCAAGATGCCTTTCCCACTTCGGTCAGTGTGGGTAGGGGGAAGGGTGCATTTCTCTTTACCGTCTCCCACCCGCCGTAGCAAAACACAGCGCCAAAGGTGGCTGTGACAAAGTTCCCGACCAGCTGCCATGACGGTGTGTCCCTGTCCTCCTCAGACTGTCCAAACCACCCCGTCTCTGATGCCGGTACACCATCCGCCCGCCACCCCGTGACCATAGAAAATAGACCCATCAGAATGATGCTCCCCAGGGCGGAAAGCTTGAGCATGAGGAACACGTTGGCCGCTTTCGCGCCGGACGTGGCGCCCAGGCAGTTGACGATGGTAACGAAGGCCATACATGCCAGAGCCGTCAGCCTGCTGGCGAGAGGCGACAGACTATCCGCCGAGGGCGAGGAGGGGGAAGGGCCTGGGAGGAACGGTCGGGTGAGGTAGTTCGTCGCGATGGTGGAAATGGCGCCGTTGGCTGCTGGTTTGGCGAGGACGACCCACGTCCAGGTGAAGAGGAAGCCGGCGAGCTCGCCCTTTGGTCCCACTTGGTCGTGGCTCTTCACGGGCGTTGTCGTTCCTGCTGATCTTGTAGCCCCTAATATGCCTCCCCGGGTTGAGTCACCTTCATCCTCATTACTGCCCCTCTCCTCATCATCTTCATCAGCATCGTAGCCCCTCCCACCGCCGTACGCAACGCGCACGTACTCCTGGATGCCCCCGTTGCTCGGCACCCTGCACCCCAGCTCGATGAAGCTGGACGCGCCGGTCCACACCAGCAGGCCCGCGAGCAGCCAGACAAGTAGCCCCGTCCCGGGCGACGGGACGTACTGGCTCACCTGTGAGGGGAGGGTGAAGATGCCGCTGCCGATCTGCAGGGCGATGACGAGGGCGAGGCCGTTGAGGACGGTGAGGTGTTTCTTAGCCGCTGGGGCCGTGGGATAGGAATCTATGAGGGGCTGGGCTTCTGTGTTTGCATCATCATCATTGCTAGCTGTTGCTGAGCTAGATGGTACCGTCTCTTGGGTGCTGGTGTGCTGGGGGGTGTTCTCACCCATAGCGGGGGAGAAGGAGGGGTTACAAAAGTCAAAGAGGTCGTGCCAGTTTCAATCGCCTGGGCAGCTTTTTTTTAAAATGGAAATTCAATTGGGTCCTCTGAGCACCTCATGAGCATACCTTGAAGATGTGCACTTCTCTGAGTGGTGTTGAATCGAGGTTGTATGGGACAGTCGGTGAGGTCACCACTAGAGCGTGATAACGGAGAACCCCGAGACGGTGTGCATGGTAGGTTGACTTTCAGTAACATCGCAGCAAGGGCCACCGCGGAATGGTTTGATAAGCATTGCTTCATGATCTAAATCCTTACTCATTCAGTGAAAGAGTATTCCGTAAGGGAAACTTTCACTATGATCGGCAAAACTTGCTCAATTGGGTCCCCATCACCACTACCCATCAATCTCCATCTCATCCGGGAGTCCTCCTTGGTTTCCTGTCGTGTCCTCAGCCTCTTCCTGTCGCACATCAGACCGGTCAGGCTCCTCCTCATCGAAATCAAACAATCCATTCAATATGGACGACCTGTCGAGCTCTCCAATCAGAAAATCGAGGACGAGCTGCTTCCAGGAATCGGTCTCCTCCGCCAGCCACTCTCGCATCGTCTCTCTCCACGCGTTGCGATCTCGCAGCTCAGGAAAGAGGTTTCTCATCTCCTGCGAGAGTTTACGATCTTGAGACTCTCCCACAAGTATGGGGCCGATGACCTCCCAGAATAGATTGGAATCCGGCCGACCTTGACGGGACAATGCCTCTGTAGTGCCGCACTGCTCATCTGGGCCACCTCGCCAGCCAAGTAGACGGAGCAAGTGATCACGTCTGTTGAGGAAAGCCGGCACGAGGCCACTGACACAGCGAGTGCACCAATTGTTCATCGCAGTCACAAATCGTGGCGCCTAGCCTGCCGGTTCGTTCCTCGCGCCAGTGCTATCCAATCTCTCGGCAGCATTGTCTGCTGCCTGCTGCTGTTGCTCCTCTCGCTGTGCCCTCTCTTGTTCCTCCTTCCGCATCTCGTGTTCCTCCTTCTGCATCTTTTCCCACTCCGCAGACGAGAGGACAAACTCGTTCGACACCATCGAGATGGACGCCCACATATCCGCGTCCACGAGGAAGTGGACTATCTCAACCGCCAGCAGATTCAGAATCATGCCCCGCGAGAAGCCCCACAGACCCGCCGTCGACATGCCCCTCGGTCGGCACCAGCACTCAGCGATGTTCCGGAGCACCATGGCCTCCATAGGCGCGAGCAGCAGCGACGCGGCTCGGCGCGCGAGCATGTCAGCCGCAAGCGTCGCGGGCAGCCGCGTGAGGGCGTTGTCCCTGTATAGCCTGGGCGGCCGCCGGGACCGCTCCTCGCCGTCTCGGTCGCCGCCACCACCGCCCTGCGACTCGTTGCCCGGGTTGGGTCTCAGCTCGGCGGACCACACGCCCGGTGGGATGTTCGCGTCATTGGGGTCTGGGTTCTCGGGGTTGTTCTCGACGTCAAAGCTGATGAGCGTGGCCGAGACGATCTCGTTGGCGTCCTCCTCGTCGTCGGTGAAGTCGTCCGCGTCAGCGGTCTGAGACACCTGTGGGCGATGGCCAGGGCGGCGACGGGTGTCAGGACGGCCGGTACCATTGTTCCGTGCGGGAGGAGATGGGTTGCGCTCTCTCGGAGCAGGATCCGTATCTGCGTCCGGTGGAGCAGGTGCTTCCGTTGTTTGCGGAACCTCCCAGACATTCCCATCGCCTGGAGTGGTCCCCTCTGAGTCGCCTAGCCCAACGCGAACTGGTACGGCTTCGGCGGCATTTGAAAGGGGGACTGGGCCTGACTGTGTTTGACTTTGGACAGGATCGTCGGGGTTGGTTGAAGCACGTTGGACAATAAGATTTGCTGGTATCGGTGGTAATTCTGGGCCTGAAGGATTTGGTAAAAGGTCGTATATCACCTCGTAAAAGAACTCCCTCACCCAGTCAATCAGACCCTCCGAGAACCACAACCCCATGATAGGAGCTACGCTGAGAGCGATACTGCCTAGCCACGAGGCTACGGAACGAGAAGTGAGGGTAGTCGGTAGTGGACATGGTGGAATGATCGATGATGCTGTGAACGGAATGAAGTATTTCCAATTGGGAAACCATGATGAACTCGAGGTTGGCAGGAGTGACGTCCGTGACAGGAAGATCCAGACTTTGAGCATGGTCTGGACATAAGTGAAGCCCCATTTGAGAGCAGTGCTCCTCATGATGCGCTGGCCGAAATAAGGTAGTTCCATGGCGTTGGCCACCACGAACGCGGGCAGGCCATCCCAGAACAGCTTCCGCAGCGACCACGTCTGCAGCTCGTGCTGTATCAGCCGCGAGACGGGGACGTGTGAGTAGTCGCGGTAGAGCAGGATGCGCTGGCGCAGGCCGGCGACGCCCCAGACGCCGGTGAGCTCGCAGGCGCGCGACACCCACTCGAAACGGCGGGCCAAGCGCGTGTCGTGCTGCAGGTGGGCGATGTGGCGGGCACGCTCGGCGCGGGCCTCGTCGATGCTGTTCTCGGCCTCGACGACGCCGATGACCAGCATGACCTCGTTGTGGGAGCGGATAACGTCGCGGTTGATGCGGCGCGTCTCTGGGTTGACAGGGCGGCCACGCTCGTCGTACATCTGCAGGGGTGCGCGGGGGTCGCCCTCGCCCTCGCCCATGACGATGTCGTCGTAGGGCGAGCGGCCCAGCGCCATGGACGTCAGGGGACCGTGTCTGCCCATGTCGACGGCTGTTGATGCTGTGTGCTAGTGGATAGCTAGAACTGTGCCATTTGATCGTTTAATTGGTTGTTTGTTGCAAGCGAAGCTGCAGGTTCAGCCAAGCATTGGTGGAAGGAGAGGCGAAGTGTTGTTGTGAAGTGATAGATGGAGGTGTAGGTGTAGGCGGCGTGGGTGTGGCGACAAGCGAGCATCGAGGGGAAGGCGCGAGGTCGGAAACACCTCAACCTGTGAGGAAGGCACAGAGTTTTGAGGTCCGCCTCGAGCTGTTGAGCTCCCTTGGTGTTTGACCCATCAAAGGAGCCTCAATCTCAACCGAGCTTAGGCTCGGTTGTCCGCTTCACGGCCACAGTATCTCTGGGTTGGACAAGAAGGAACAGGGTGTGTCGGAGGACCAGCTGTGGGATAACCAGCTGTGGGATAACCAGCTGTGGGATAACCTCCTAAGGGATAACCTCCTATGGGATAACCTCCTATGGGATGACCTCGTGTGGGAAACCTCCTGTAGGCTGCCGTTGGCTGTATTCTCGCCTCATCTCACATCACCAGCTGCAGCTCTGGCCAGCTGCCTTGCCCAGACGCTCGGACCAATCGGCCAGTCACCCAGGCGGCAGCGTCTAATCCCAAAGCAGCAGGCGGTCAAACTTCGGACGCGCAGGCGGCAGAATTCCCTGCGCCCAGCTATTTAAATCCAGCCACCCTCCCGCCTTCTTCCTCTTCTTCTTCCTCTTTTTCCTTTCTTCATACTTACCTTGTCTGAATTACGGTGGATCAAGAATCACTGTAATTAGGTTGGGAAGCCTGCATAGCACATCGTGGCGCTGACCAGTCTGGTTTGTCCTTCGGGGCCGACCTGGGCGGAATTTTTGATATCCAAATCAGCCATCCTGATGCCTACTTTTTCATCTTGGCTCATCCGCTTGCGGGTGACATCATGAAGAAGCTATCACCAATCTCGCACCCCGTGTCATTGACACCCAGAGATTTACATCGCTTTGGGTGTGTACCGTGTCGACACCGTCAGTGTTCACTCGACTTCGGTCACTACGGTCGCTACGATCCTTACAGTTCGCGTCTGCTAACGGTTTGTTACTCTAAGCATTGACCCTGTCAACCTTGTCAACCCTATTGACCATGTTGACCCTGTTGACCCATTGACAAAGAATATGTTGCCCTTATGGCTGTCGTGAGAAGCTGTCGTATGGCTCAACACGACCGCGATTTGCGCGACGCGTCGAGTCGCGTCAGATTTCATATGATCCTTGGAACAGCGAATGCTCAGCACGGCAAGGGACCAGATCAGTTGACCCGAACCGTAGCGACCGTAATAGAGCGAGTTCCATTCCGACGTTCATCCTCTCCAGGCTTCCCAACCTAAACACAGTGATTCTTGATCCACCGTATCTAGACAAACCAGACTGGTCAGCGCCACTACACGTGCTATCAAAGCTCCTCCTCACCAGCCCGACGTCTCTACTGTACAGAAGGAGCTGTGGGATTCAACGTCGACTCAACAGGAGCTCTAGGACCTTGTGGTAGACATCGGGCGCTGTCGACTTCATGTGGATGTCTCGGACTCGTGCTGTCAATCACACATGCCAGTCCGGCTGGACTCGAGATCTGCTCGTTTGCTGAGCCCGATCGTCCCAGATTCACGAAATCTACCGTGTTTCTGCTGACTTTTCTATCGATCATCAGCAATCGTCTCTGCCTTACCGCTTGCATCCTGGGCAGCACTGTGGCTGGCGATCGACACCAACTTGCTCAGTCAACAAGCACAATCACGTTACGATCTGATATCCACACTCCCTCGCACAGATACTGATTATATGAAGCCTCAGATCCTCGAGCAGACGTTCAGCAAAGACAGAAAATACTCAAATTCAAGTCGGAAGGGAGTCGATCTCGTGACATAATCCTCTCTCATGTGGCCTATGACCTTAGAGTGCAACGAACCATCAACTTAGGCTTCTTCCACAACACCTGCAACTGGCACTGCTCCAACCAGTCGCCACCCTCAACCTCCCCGATCGACTCCCAATCGAACGAGTACACCATCTTCGCAAGCGTAATACGCATCTCCAACCAAGCAAGATTCACACCAATGCACATCCTTGGCCCGATAAGGAACGGTGCCGAGTAGGGCTTCACTCCACCCTGATCAAGCCAGCGCGCAGGCTCAAATACATCAGGCGCAGGTGGGCCTTCAACGTTTCGCGGGTCCCGAGTAAAAGACCAGATGTCGGCAGACACGTATACGCCCTTAGGGACGAAGACCCCGTCGACCGTCTCGCCGGGGCTGACACGCGGCGGGCCGACCGTCGACGGTGGCATGATGCGCATCGTCTCCTCGAGCACGGCGTTGAGGTACGGCAGCTTGGCGACCGCATCGCCGGTGATGTCCTCGTATCTTGCGAACCCGCTGCGCACCTCGTCTCGGAGCCGCGCGAGACAGTGCGCGTAGGCCGGCCTGGAGAGGAACCAAACTGCCGCGGCGAGGGCGGTGGCGCTGGTCTCGGCGCCTGCTGTGAGGAATCTACCAGTCGTCTCGCTCGTTAGCTAATGTAGACTATAGATTGTTGTGGTGAGCGGCGTGATCCCTTGGGGCACTCACATGAATCCCTGGTGGGCGAGCTGCTCCTCGCTAAGCTTGTCGATCGCTGGGGCGAGGAAGTCTTCGATGCCGTGCTCATTGCCCATCTGTATCCTCGCCCGTGTCTTCTCAAACGTGAGCGCCGCATGGTGTTTTTTGGCCTTGATGGCGTCTGCGGCATCCTGGGAGAATCGCGGTGCCCAGCGCAGAATCGGCCCCAGTATGGCAATGCGCTTTGCCAGAAGGTCAACACTGCCACCGTATACCGCACCGTGGAGAAGAGAGACCCAGTAATTCGGCTCGCCCTTGCTCACGGCGCCAAATGACTCCCCGAAGGCTAGCTGGCCTGGATTGAACATGTCAGCAAGGGCTCGGCTTGATCGAGGGACGGGCAAGGTCTACCGATGATGTCGAAGGCAAGCCACTCGAACCACGCCGTCACATCAATTCCTGCCTCTCCGCGTGTCTTCAATTGAGAGATGAAGAGGTCGACATGGTCCTGCACTACATGCTCCTGGGAGCGCATCGCCGAGGCCCGGAACGACGGGGCAAAGATCTTGTATTGTTTTGCATGTTCATCTGGGTCCATCTCGTATACCATGCTTTGGATCCCAGTACCGTAGAACAGCTCTGACTTGGGGAACAGCTTCCGAGTCTTAGAAGGAGGCCCATAGATGTCTTTGAACGCTTGAATAGATGCGAATGACAGCTCGTTGGGCGCGATACGTATGATGTCGCCTGCGTGGTAGCCCCCTTTTAGCTCAGGCTCATCCAATCCAGAGATTTCAATGCCCTTCTTACCATATTTTCGATGAGCTTTATTGAGCTTGACGTGCCATTTACCGCCAGTCCAGCTCCTTGCGTACCAAATCTGTGTCGTTCAAGTCAGCAACAGGCATGGAGTCCAGATGCAGAATCCGAGTTGCTTACTTCTGTGCAGGCAGCAAGCTTTGGCCCTGGATATTTGGACAATGGATGAAACCAGATCAAGTAGACGTAGCGAATCTAGAATACTGTCAGAGAGATTTTTAAACCGATTCGGGCTACTCACCAGCGCAGTGGCTAGAAGCACCGGCAGAGAGGCCAAGTATATCGAGAAGCCAAACATAATGAACTATTCTGGCCGCACACTCAAGTAAATGTGATATGAAGGAATAGGTTCAACGGTGCAGTTCACGCACGAGATGGAAGGAGGACTGCGATATTCAAGAAGTATCATGAAGAGGGGTATACAATGGTAGATTGTCTATGAGCGCATGCAGACGGGATCAAGCCGGGACATTCTTGCCGAGTTCTAAGAGGAAAACGAAACCTCATGCATCACAAAATTGTGGGGAGGAGGGGAACATATGAAGATCTCTGATGACCTATGCATGTTTGCCTGTTGGCGATGCACCGACAATGGAAAGGGAGGTGTGACAAACTTCCATGAAGAGTTTAGGGCACAACATTGTATGGGAACTCCGTATAACACACGATAGCATGTGACGCGAACAAAGTGGAATAAGTGGTGGGTGTTGTTGATCTGCGACGAGTTGGGAATCTGCATATCTGTTGCATCTCGTCACATATCAGTGTGCCAGGCCCTGGTCTCAATAGCTCACGGCCTCGTATGGAGTCCGGCTATTGACGTGCATTGTTGGGACTCTCAGCATCGAGGATGTGGACTTTTAATACGAAAGATCTGCGTCACGATATTGGAAGAACTTTGGTTCACCATGCACAAGTCTGTTTGGTGACATCGGAGGCTCTTGACATGAATGAGCAACCCTGTTTAAAGCCAGTCAACCGTAACAGATGGCTGGAGCAGGTTTGTTTCCACAGAATGACAAACGCCGACAACGTCGTATACATGGACTCACCGCCTGCTAGCAGGTCTCTCTTTGATGGCAATCCAACGCACCCATTTGCTAGAGCTGCTGTCAGCGTCGTAACTATAGTCATAGCCCTTATAGTGGTAGTATTGCATATTCAGACCAGGAGCAAAATCTTAAAAGGATGTCTGTGGTTTTACAATTGTGAATTTTATTTGGACGACTGCCATTCCGGCCTTGGGCTGAGTCCTACCTAGATATGTTAGATTTCGCAATTGTCGCAATTGTCGCAAATGTCGCACTTGTCTCATCAATCCTCCTGAGAATGAGCAATTCCATACGTAATTATTTATGCAGCAAATTTTGACATTCATCAGCCATCTCATAGTTAACAGGACACTCTCTTTGTTTTGCGTTCAACCCCTCTCGCTATTTATGGCGTGGCTTAGGTTGAGGTATACGAGCTCAAGTCGCGTGATGGCGTCTCTGTGCCGCGGAACGCCTAAAAAGAGACCATCGCCCAAGACGTCGGAGAAAATCTCTGTTCCAATATTGAGTTTGCAACCATCTGGGACTCCAGAAGCGTTTATTTTCTTTTTCAATCCAAAACTTTCGTGAGATAGGTAGCACGAGCACGAGGACTCTACATGGTGAGTCGAAAAATGTATTCTTTTGTCATGTTCATGTAGACACCGTGGGTGGGTATTGCTAGTATTGCTACAACGTTCACAGCCTTTGTAAAAGTAGCGCGCATTGTTCTGACTAGGATGCTTGTTAAACAAACAGCGCATGGACATCTTGGGATATGTAATCAGACCACGATGATGGGTTGGCTCAACCACAGCATCTTATTATAGTCGCTCGAATGCAACGTCTTTTCACAACGTGCAGCTAGAGAAATGACACTAAGGGCCAAATATTGTGAGTTAGTGGGTCGAACCAACGCGTGTTGGTGCCAGCTTGTGAACCAACATCAAACAGCTCGAGCTCTCGCAATCGGTGTGCGAGCTTAGCGCCCCACGGACGTTGCCGCTCTCAATGTGAACCTTTTTCGTCACCAGAACACGGACTTATTCTTCTGATGCGAACTACTTCTTTATTTCTACACTCTCAGAATCAGCCTGACAGTCGCAAGCATGACGTTTTCCGCCAACGAGCCCACCCTCCTCCTCTTGTTGATCGGCGTTGTTACTGTGGCTATATTCGCCGCTCGCAAGATGTTCGGTCATGACCCTCGCGAACCTCCGCTGGCTCCGCAGTCAATCCCAATGGTTGGCCATATGATCGGGCTTTCTCGTTCATCTTTCAATTACCATGTCGATCTAAGGTATGAGTTCAGTCCCACGCCAACCCCGATCAGTCATGACGAACTCAACTTAGCCCTGTCTCAGTCAGCAAACAAAGTCCCCGATCTTCACCTTATCGCTCCCGGGCCAGAAGATGTACGTGGTGACGAAGCCTGAGCTTATCCAGACAGTACAGAAACAGCACAGGACCCTTGCGTTCCCGCCTATCGAGGCCAAGTTCGCGTCCACGGTCTGCGGGGCGAGTCATGAAGCCCAGGAAATCTTGGCTAAGAACGTCAATGGCGACGAGGGCGACCTTGGTCTCTGAATGGAGTCTTATGCCGCGATGCGAGCCGCACTCAAGCCCGGCTCGCTCCTTGACGACATGAATCGCGTTATGATACAGGAAATCGCGAGATCGCTTGATCTGCTGGAGCCGGCTGAGGGAGAGTCTCGAAAAATTGGCATGTACTCCTGGCTAAGGGATGCTATTACGACTGCTACTACGAGGGCAGTTTACGGGCCGATGAACCCGTATGATGATAAGGCTGTCGCCGATGCTTTCTGGTGAGTAGAACTCAGACTCAGAGATCAGTATATGGAGCAAGTTTCTCATTCAGCATCGTCACTACTCAGGGAATTCGAGAGCGGTCTAATGTCGATTTTGATTGGCTTTCTTCCCTCAATCACGGCTAGGAAGCCTGTTTCTGCGAGGACCAAGGTTGCTGAAGCCTTCGAGGAGTACTACAAAGCTGGTGGAGTGCAAAAAGCATCGGCACTTGCTCAGATGCGATACCAGGCAGAGATTGACAACAATGTTCCGCTGGAAGACATCGCTCGATACGAGGTCGGAGGCTCAATCGCCATCTTGGTTAATACTGCGCCGTCAGCTTTCTGGACTCTCTTCCTGCTTCACTCTCACCCGGGCCTCCTCGAAGAAATCCGCGGCGAGGTCGATGCTTGTACTGTAACAACCACAGAGGGCGGCTCTACCATCAAGACCATCGACATCACCACCCTCAAGCAAGCTTGTCCTTTGTTGCTATCGTCCTACCAGGAAGTTCTTCGTTATTCTTCGATGGGCACATCCGTGCGCGAGGTGATGGAAGACACCTACCTCGATCAGTGGTTGCTGAAGAAGGGTGCCATGTTGCAGATGCCCAGCCGCATCATCCACCAGGATTCTAGCCTCTGGGGTACCGACGTCACCGACTTCAACCCTCGCAGATTCCTCCCCGAAGAGAAACAAAATCGCCCGCGCGATGTCTGCTTCCGCGCTTTCGGTGGCGGCAAAACTCTCTGCCCTGGCCGCCATTTCGCCACCAATGAGACCCTTGCTGTCGTCGCCGTCTTCGTTGCCAGGTTGGACATGAAGCCTGTGGAGGGTGGTTGGAAATCTCCTACTACTGCCAACACCAACGTTGCTGCAGTCATTATGGAGCCGGATGATGACATCCAGGTTGAGATCAAGAATCGAAGGGGTTTCGAGGGGGTCAAATGGGCTATTAAACTTGACAAATCTGAGAAGATTTTTGCCATGGTGACAGAAGATGGCGTAGAAATGGATGAGCAATGAGATTCTCACGCAGGACGTAGCAGCGCTTTCTGTCATAACACCTGAGGGTTTCACGCACAGTAATTATTAAAGTCAGTCTCTTGTTACCCTATTGCCTTGGCTTAAATATGGAACGGAACTAGACGAATATTGGGCCTCCATGGCGAGCAATCATCTAGAAGTGCCGAGAAAGCCCATGCAGAAATATGCTTTGGCTTGCATTGATAAGAAAATCTGCTTAGGCCCTGTTTAGTAGTTGATTTCCATTCGAGGCGGAAGAGCACGAAGTGAGGACGTCGAAATCTCCAACTTTGCATCTGCATATAAGAACAGGGCAATCATGGAAACATGTGATGATTATCTTTAAAAAGCTGGTCCAGGAATTCGACAGAATATATCAGACCCATCATGCTTGGTATACTTCTGTATTAAATCTCACCATCTGTGATCCTTATTCCTTGCGCTCTTGGATTTTGGGCACAAATGCCCAGAAGATAGTTGCTACTACAAGTTGCGACAGCACGATTGGCTGCAATACCTGCACACCAGCCCGCCCGGCAATTACCCCCGTCAACGAAGGGAATATAGCAGCGCCCGCCTGAGCCACCACAAATATGAAGCCTGGTAACAAGGTATCGGTGAGCCTTGCTGATACTGATGTAGACAGACCTAAGTAGGGTCAACTTACTAAGAGCTGGCGACTGAATCTTCCGGGGGAAAAGCTTCGAAGCAACCGAGACGCCCTGTGTCGAGCCACTGTTAGCGATCTGCCCGAACAATGATGTCTATAGACATGACATCCTCTATACTCACAGTTGCGAAGAAGGGCCCTTGAAAGAAGCCCATGATGCTCAAAGCTGTGGCACCGGCAATGATATTGGGCACCAACCAGAATACGAGCTGAAGGCCGATGCTTATGACAAAGTATATGAGCAGCATGCGCTTCTCTCCAAACCGATGGGTTGGTTCCGGCAGCAGGAGGCGGCCTAGGAGTGTTCCAGCGGCCTGACCAGACGGCACGTAACCTACTTTGGCGACATCTCCTCCTCTCACGGAAACAAGGTAGGCAACGACCCAGCCTGGCAATTTCAATCAGCAATCACGGAGATCTGGGAGAGATGTGGGCAGCCGTGCCCGTGGGACACATCGACATGGAGTGCTCACTCACCGCCCGAAGTCTGGGCAGCCCCGAGGGCGAAGAAGAAGAACAGACTGATGAGCCAGACGTCCTTCACCTTCAACATGGCGCCCATATCTCGCAGAGCAGAGGACGTCTTCTGCCTGTCCCGTTGCTGCTCCCCCGTGGCGCTTCCGGCCCTCTCCTCATCACCGCCTCTTGAGACACCATCACTCCTGGAAATCCACAGCGTATCTCTAAAGGCCATCATCACCCACACCAGATTGACAACCCCAAGCCCGACAGTAACAAAATAAGTCCTCTTCCACGACTCCTCGCCGCCCACAAAGCCACCACTGCCACGAGACGTCTTCGACGCGATCGCCGTGGCCAGCAGCGGGCCCACGAGCAGCGCGAGCGCGTACATGGCGTGGATGAAGCCCAGCCACCTGTGCGCGGCGCGGACGCCGCTGACAAAGGTGTTGCCCAGCGCGTCCTGGTAGGCGGTGCCGAGGCTCTGCAGGAAGAACGAGGCCGCGAAGGCCGGCAGGCCCGACCACGCCCAGGGGCGCAGCACCTGCGCCAACAGCTGGAGGAGGGCGCCGGCCCAGAGGAGCTGGCCCAGCGCCAGGTGCGGCGCGAGGACGGGGTTGGTCAGCGCGCCGATGAGCCAGCCCAGGAAGGAGCACGCATACCTGCGGTGAGAGGGAGGGTCAGGCTGTCGTTCCATGCGGTGATTGTGGAAACAGGAGCGGAAATGGGCGGTGGACTTACAAGATAGCCACCTCGCCGGTGCCGATGGAGAACGAGGTCAAGAGGTAAGGGATCAACGGCCCCAGCGTGCTGTCGTTGATTCCGGCGCAGAAGAATGAGAAGCCCACGCCAAAGATCTTCAGCCACGGCTGCAGTGATATCTCTGACGAGGTACTCTGCTCTTGATCATGCGCCGCAAGTGTAGAATCTGCTGCTCGTGCGGGCGAGCCATTTCTTTCCTCGCCATTCGCTGAATTGTTGGCGAGCGTGAAGCCCACAGGCTTGCGTATTTGTCGAAGCTCATGGTGTTCGACGTTTTCGTTGGGGAGGGCCTCGATGGTGGTTGTTTGCGTAGACGTGGCCATGTCAGTCGTCTTGCCAGGATATACCGCGGAAGAATGATCGACGCACTCCAAGCTTATTCAAGTTCATTCAGATGTATATAGTAACTCAATGAATCACGAATTGCGTATCCTTGAAGGAGCCGCGCAGCACAAGTATGTCTGATCATAATGCAGTTTAAGGGACGTCGAGGGTCCAGGCGGAGAAACTTCGGCTAAGCAGTGACCTTGATGGAGAAGTGCAGTCGATCTGGGCTAAATATACGGGCCGTACAGCCGGCTCGTTGCTCTCGATCAATAACCTCTTCTTTTCCTCGGGTATATGTCACTCTAAGGGAAAACTTCGGCACTGGGCTACTGGTAGTTCCAAGGAATGATCATTCGTCTGGCGGTGCAATTATGTCACTCTATCGCCGTGGGAGACTCCCCAATTATGAACGAAATATTAAATACGAACACACTGCCCCTGCCAAGTTGATGACCTTGTCTCCTTCGAAACAATGGAAAATATGAAGACCCAAACATTTTGGCATACATATGGCAAAAGCTGATGGGTCATAGACAAGATAAAGTCAGCAAGGCGACGCACTCGTCGTGGTCTTGCCTTGCTCGCTTTGTACACCAGAAGCCGTACATACGACATACAACGGAGCGAAACAATATCCGCCCACGTCTTGGCACATTTCAAACCGCGTCGTAGCCACGTGTTTTGGTACATAGTGAACCCCCTAACAAGCAAACGAGATCCGGGAGGACTGGACAGGTGCCTATGAGGCAGGGCCGAATCTCGCCCTTCCCCGTTGATGTAGCAGGAGAAATCCGGTCCAAATAAATCAGCTGCGAGGGATTGTCGAGTGACAGTGCCATGATACCGGCCCCTGATTTACTACACGGTCAGAGCTCTTGGAGTTCGAGATCATGCCATATGCAATCTATCGGTCGCTGACAGCGATGCGCAAGACCTATATCTCCTACAATCCCGAAAGGGAGTGTCAACTCGTCCCAGGCGACCCAAGCCACTCACCCCACAGGGCAGGAAGTGAATCCTATCGAGGGTGAGAGCTCTTAATTCCACGATACAGTGATACATGTACCATTCCGGGGCCCGTCGTCGTTGTCTAATTTGCGCCACATCTGTCGTCCACCGAAACTCATGAAACTCAAGAACGCCAATCCGTGGACAATATGTGAGCAGTGACACACAGGCAATGATGTACGAGCAGTGATCGTGCTCGTGCTGACATTGCGTCACATTACAAAATGAGCTTCAATCGGCTGCGATGTGCCGTGTCGCGCCGTCGATCTGCTCACCGGCGGAAGTAAAGAATCAGCAAAAAGAAAACAACTTACCTGAGTTACCGACCGCCCCAAGTACAGATTGCCAGCAGCGCGGTTTCGAGTGGTTTACTCTTGTTTGAGACCGTCTTGTCTCATTCAGCCGCATGGCATGCGGTGGTACAGCACAGATCCCGTCGCCGAAAGGGTTTCTCCGTTACTGCAAGCCGCTGGCCGCGTAAGTAGAACCGATGTCGTTGCCAGCAATGCACGGTACAATCAGCCGGCCAGTCGAGGACGCCGCGTGCGTGTCAGTCCCAACGGCTGCAGCCCACACTTGCGGACTAGGCCTCAACATTGAAGTCGCCAGTGAACATGTCTTGGGTTGATAGTAACTTCTGCGACGAGGTCCGGTCGTTGTGCTGTGAGACAAGCTGTCGAAAGTCAAGCTTGCAGCACACCACTCAAAGTCCTGGTGCCAACAGTGCGAGATTAACCAATCAGAGCGACCCAGGCGATGCGGAGCCCACGCTTGCCGCCCGACTTGCTTGCCTTGCCGACAACAAACGATCAGGGACTTTCGCAAGCTGAATACTTTGCAACAGCGGCTGCAGGTAAGCCGCAGAGATTCAAGCGCGTCGTATGGTTCCGTGACTCTCATTGCACGCAGTTGGAGAGCATCGTAATAGGAACCGCGGATGAGCGGTTGTGTCGTAACCTTTGCACTCGCATAGCGCACTGCAATTGTTCCACCTAATGAGCCACACCTGAAGAAAGCAGTGTCAAGTAAGAAGAAACACGTCGAGGCAAGTCACAGCCGCAGCTGAGACAGCTACGATGAAGCACCTTGTAATGGTCGGTGCTTGCTATCTCGACACGATTCTGAGGTGAGATCTCGCTGCCTGTGTCGGTTATTGTGACCAAGTACCCGCTCACAAGCCTGCAATCAACTTTCAGCGTCCCCCATTATCCCGAGGAAGACGCCAAACTACGCGCCACAAAGCTCAAGGTGCGACGAGGAGGAAATGGCGGCAACTCACTTGAAGTGCTGCAACAGTTCATCCCGCTGTCATCGCCACCAGATCTCGCACTACATCTCGTCGCAACGCTTCCAGACCGCCACGCGGCAGCCACCGCACAAGTGGTGTCATCGTTTGGGCCAAATTCGCCCGTCGATTTGAGCCACTGTCTTTATCGAGACGACCAGATAGATGCGGCCAGCACTTGGATAATATCTAGCCAGGCGACGGGTACTCGGACTATTGTGAATCACAGCAGTCTGGACGAAATGACAACTGACGAGTTCGTCAAGATCGTGGAAGCGTTCCACGGTGAAGATGAGGCAAATATGTGGTGGCACTTCGAGGTACGTCCTTGACCGATTTCCCAGGCCAGACAGTAGGATGAAGGCTTCAGCCGCAGGCAGGATCTGCTCATATCATCATGCGCTTCGGCAACCGAACAGCCATGGCTAAATAAAGGGGCGACAGGGTCGGATCCCAGAAACGACTCTCCAGTGCATCCAACACCTGCGCCTCTCTCATCCACGGTCTCGGATAAGCGTCGAGGTCGAGAAGCCCGCAAGAGAAGGCTTGCGTGAGCTGGCCGCAGAGGCTGACGTTGTTTTTTACTCGAAAAGTTGGGCTGAGGTGAGTCGGCGGGAACATTCCGTGGAAAGACAAGCCATCAACATTGAAGGAAATCAAAGCTGATCAGCGGATCAATGATGGCTAGGGCGAGGGATACGCAAGCGCTGAGGCATGCCTGACAGCCGAAAGTGTGCGGACACCTAAGGCGTAAGTCCAACTTCAGTTTTTGACAGTAGCCTGCTCGTCTCCGAGTGCCACATCAGGACTGATGCGTAGGGAGAAAGGTCACTCCTCTGTTGTACATGGGGCGCCAAAGGGGCCACCGCCCTCTCACTCCAGACGCTTCGAGTCTTCAACGTCACGCCAGAGCCCCGTGTGACTGTCCAAATTGTTGAGTATGGACATTCGCCCCTCCCTTCCCACTTGCGAAAGGCCCACTGCCCCAAAGGCACAAAACTGACAGGGCCTGGCTTGCAGCTCTATAGGTGCCGGGGACACATTCATAGCGGGGATACTGTATGGCCTGCTCTGTCGGATGGGAGACTGGAATGAGCAAAGGACGATCAGATTTGCCGTAGACCTTGCTACGACCAAGATCCAACAGGATGGGTTTGGAGGATTGGCGTCTAAATTGTCGCCTGCAGATTGATCGGGATTGAGTTCGAGTCAGGACACTTCGTAGGAGGAAAGGCACCGGAGGCTGATGGATCCGTCGTGTGATTTGCATGAAGGAGGAGGGCTAGACTGATGATCGGGAAGCCAAACATGTGGGCTCTGCTCGTTAACCCGCAGCCTGACCGACTGGATTGCAATCCTAAGAGGATATGAGCACAAAGCTCGCTCAGGAGGTTTGCGTCACAGCGTGCAGCTACCTGGCAGTCTGGCTAAGTCTCGGCGTAAGTCGGCTGGTGTTGAGAGGTTGGCGAGGGTTGCCGCGAGATCGTCAGCCAAATGTACCCCAACTCACCCCCCAGGATGTCACATTTACGAGGGTAACAACAAAAGCCGACCGAACACCACCAACATGCAACCGCAGAAGAAGCGGTGTGCCATAGTTCGTACATTCGAGGCTAGGAACTGTGGATGGGAGTTGATCCGGCCCCTCCCAAGGTCGGCTTCTTGTGGCTCCCCGCTGAGCGCCATCGAAACTCCGTGTATGCCGGAAATAGCGTTCGAATCTAATGAGCCATGCCCCTCACCCTGAGAAGACCTGCATCCATTTCGATGACGCTGCAGAAAGGGGGTATGATAGATTAAAATGTGCCTCACTACCCATGCCGATGCAGCAAAGTTGCGTTGAGACATGTCGACTTGCCGGAGCGGGTCAGGGGCGAGTCGCCTTGAGTGACGCTCCTGGATTAGGATTGGACAGTCGTACAGAACGGCTGGCGATCCCTTTGCTTCCGTGGGTCAAAACATCAGGCAGTCAGCCAGCCAGCAAGATCCCGATATCCAACAAACCGCTGTAACGCTGGAAGGCTGCACCGAGGTGCATGCGTACAGTACAGAGGGCAGATGACGCTGCTCGTTCCGGTGCCGATGGCATGCCCGATGGCATGCGCACAACAAAATCTGATCGCAAACTCACAGGCTCTCATTCGGCCAGGATAGGCAGGCTTCGCTCTTCATCATGTTGAGGTTTTGCAGATGTATGGAGTCCGACACCCAACGAGGTAAGTTTCCTCATGACCGTTACCGCCTTCACAGTATGCCGCACTTGACGACGTCGGCCAACTCTTCGTGTCATGCTGCAAGTCGAGCGTCGTTTCGAGTTCAAGCTAGGGTCAGCTTGGAAGCTCAGTCTCTCGCGGCGAAGTAGCCTTTCTGGGCAGTCTTCGGATTACGCACGTATCCACGACTTGGCGGCGACGAGGGACACAAGGCGGAGAAAGGTTTGGGAGGTGCACCATGTGCATTGCAGATGAGTTGCATCGGGGAATATGGACAATCCAGCAGGATCAGACCGCTTGCCTCGCTAGTAATGGAAATGTGACAGGGTTCGACCAAGATAGTTTTGCGCCGCGGAGGTCGTCCGATGTTTTCAGCCACAGAAGACAAGGGAACAAGCAGTCCTGGCCCTCCAAAGTCAGGCTGCGGCGCTCCGCCGCCATATCGCATACGATGACCACAGCACGAATCATGTGTCGCTGCTGATGGAAACTGATTGCATTCATCGAGCTCCGCCCTGAGCTTTCCGTTCGTTGGCCAAGCGGTCTAGGTAACTCCATGGGCCACCGCTTCAAAGCGCCAGTGTGCTGCTCGGTTGCCATCTCATTTCGCAACAGACCTTGTACAAAGACCACGCTTTACTGGTTGAATACATGCCTAGGCATCCTCATGATGCCGAAGCCTTGAAACAGTCTGTACCATCTAGAGTTTGCCGAATCTGGAGGTGTGTTGTTAGACGCTCTGATCCCTGGCACCGGACCAACACAACATCCTTTGCTTTTGGTTTCCCAGTGGTGGAAGTTCGAGACCCGAGTCGTTGGCTGATCAGTGTGGCTGGACACCGGATGATGTTTTGTAGCATGCCCCTGGCACCGTGAGTAGATTACGCGTGTTTGCACACATTTAGGTTCGGCTGCGCATTGCTTTCTTGTGTATCAATGGAGCCTCCCGGGGTCCTCCACGTCTTGCGGTCGGCGCTGCCAATAAACTCGCGTGGGCAGGCGACACGAAGTCCTCAGGGTATCGTTTCGGCCATCGCTGTTCTATTGTGTTCGAAGACGCCGATCATAGTGCTGGGTGGTTGAATTCGCATGAGAACGTCCCGTTTTGTGGTTGACAGTAGCAATGATTGACATCCGGTGCGTTTCGGTGAGACGTCAGTGCAGTCATCCGGACATCGACCGCGATAGGCCAGGAAGCTGACAGGCTGACAAACAGTTCGGTACGCAACTGGGACCTGGACCACCTGCGTCGTGGGGTAGCTGCCCGTGGAGGAGAGCGAAATTGGGCCGGTTCTAAATACCCCCTTCCCACCCAGCCCACATCGTGTCCAGGCCTCTGGGCACCGCAGTACTGCCGCGAGGAGCGAGGTAGGGCACAGTGTCGCTTTTACCCAACCATCGATGGAAGATGGGTACCACTGGGTGTGTGATCGGCGAAATAGGCAGGCCATCAGCCGTAACCGCCCATCAGCAAAGTGAGGGAATTGATGATCCAAGCGATGGCTTTCCAGGCAGTACGATTCACGGCGCATCCGCAGGGAATTGTCCGGTAATTTTCCACAGTCAAAGCCCGCAGATTTCGTATGGTACAAGTGTACTTCATGGTGGGTAGATACGACAGGGTTGAAAATTACAGCCAGTGCAGTGTGGGGGCCCGCAGCGCAAGGCGCAACATTCGCAGGGTCCACAAAGCCCCAGGAGACAGCTATGCTGGGCGCACGCCGTCCGAGCGAGCCGGTCATACTGGAGAACGCACCCTTGTGTTAAGGCTGGTCTGTACAGTGGGTACAGTAGTCAACGGCGGCGTGCACTGGACCTGGCCCAAGGGCGGCAATCAGATCACTGCCAGTCAGAACGACGTGTCCTGCGAGTCAGCACATCCTCCAGCAGCCCGCTAGGCCTAGAAACCTGTGACAGCGCGAGAGACGCAAGGGGATCGATCGTTCCAGTGGTGAATTCTGCGAAGAACACCGAAGACGAGATGAGGCACAAGTTGCTGCAGATCTCTTCCCAAGGTGTGTAAATTCCTTGCACCGGTCGGTATTTGAATTCATCCCGGGGAGTTTGCGGTACTTCTTCAGGATGTGTATCCGAGGCAGCTCTAGTTTTCGATCTGACATTGACGTCCGTGGTTCAGTAGGCCTGGGTCGAAACTTTAGAGTCACATCACACTGCCTCTGTCGAACCGTGACCCGGTGGCCATAGGAGCAGCCGGAATCCTAGCATCGCAAAAAGGAAAAAAAGAAAATACAGTACATAGTACAGGCTGTCTGCCAAGGTGGCAAGGTCCCATAAGAACGACAGGGTAATCGATACCCTGCATTTCGATCCTCTGGCAGCGGGCCCCATGTCGCTTGTCACCCCTCGAAAGCACCTGGGATTCGTCGTGAGGTACTTAGCATCAGCCAATGACACGGGATATCAGATCTGGATGGGACCTCGAAACGCCACTTTCGAACGGCGGCATGGTCGTTCAACAGTCAGAGCTGCGACAGGGGCCGGGGCCGGCATCCTAGTCTCCAGCCATCCTGCGGCCCGTGGCACAGCCCAGGTAAACCCATGACGATGGCACCGGCCGGAAAGGAATTTTAGGGCGGCTGCATTGTACATGGTACACGTACATGATTGGTCTCTTTTGACTAGCTCTCGAGCATGAAGAATCGCTTGCTGAAAGACATGCAACAGGTACGTTGAACGTGAAAGCTTACTGTGTTGTATCACCGCCCATCGGGGCGCGAAGGAGATCGATGAGCACACGAGCCAGGTGTAATCGCCAAGCCGTGATTGCGCTTGCTAATTGAAGCCGCGACATGCGAGAGTTGGCAGTATCACTGGCATGGGCCGAGGTAATAAGATGCTAAAAGCGAAGCATCGAAAGAGGAACCGTAGCACTGGAGCATATGTACCTCGTTTCAGGGTGTGCTTGACAGGGATGTGTGGCTGATGAGCCTTGAGATCGACCTTCTAATCTTTCCAGATGAGTTCTTTCCGCATCGACCCCTGTCGGCGTGTACCGGGGAGGGGGGCACCGTACTGGGGTGTAAAGTGTTCGTAGATTGGCTCGCCCAATGAAAGGAAGGTTGGGGGCGAGGCTCCGATGCCGAGGCAAAATGGACAGCGCCGTGATGCAGTGCTTGCACTATATCATTCATGAGGAGAGATAAGTTTGCCAACTGGCCGACGAGCGATGGCACGGAGTTCCTACTGACCGACTTTGTGCTTGGATATGAGCCAGCAGTTTGGGGAAATTTCCAGTGGGCCGCGAATCCATGAGTCCAAGACAGCACAACCACCGCACGCAAGGATCCTGGACGCATGAAGAATTCTAGCGCCGGCCGGCCCCGGTCTAACCGACCGAGAGCACGGTTTTGCCGGGGGCTGAGAGGTGTGCACATACTGTGGTAGACCACAACTTGGTACTCCGCAGACTAAAGCTTGGAATTGCAGAGCCGGGAATCGTCGAACAGCCAGACAGCTGTTGATTCATTAGTGTGACTTGGTGTTGAAGCCAAACAGCCCCGCTCGTCTCGCAGGCATGAGAGCCCTTTGTTGACGAGGACGAAGACTTGGTTTCTAGGCTGTGCCAGAGATCAACATGGGGGAGCCCCCCAATGATACGGCCTACAGCGCTTCACGACAGTCTGCCGAGCGCGCGGAGGGCTGAGAAGGTAAACCTTGCCATGCAATGGTCACCATGCCAGGTCAACAA